CCTTCTTAAATTTCACACTTCAAATCCTCCTTCTCAGGACAAATCCCCCCACCCAACACAAATTAGCACAAATTCTCTCCCCCAAATTTCCCCCCATCTTGGGACAATTCCTCCCCCCAATTCTCTCCAGCACAAATCCTCCAATATTGACACACATATTCCCCCCCCCCCCCCAATCCTCTCCAGCACAATTCCTCCTTCCAGCCAAAATCCTTTCCCCCCTTTTAGTATAAATCTGTCCTACCCCTCAACCTCTCCTTATAGCACAAGTCCTCTCCCCTCCCAAAGTGCCCCCCAGTACATATCCTCTTATCCCTCCTCCCAAATATTACTCCTCCCAGCATAAATATTTGATAGCTCTATCCCCCAGGCCATTTTGTCACCTAGTGCACCTGCTAGGTGAGTTAGTGGAGCCATGTGCTGAAACTTGAATCCAGTGGCCTGGATTCGCAGTACACTGGGATGTTGTCAAAATCTCAGGACGGTCCCGCAGAATCATTAACAGTTGGGAAGTATGTACTGTACATACAGCCAAATGTGTTTATTACAATTATCCTTCTTTGGAATGTAAACTGGTTAAAATGAAAAAAAGTATTACCCCAATTTACTTTATGGTAAGCACTATAATAACATCTCAAAATATGTGCTCAATGAAAACAATATATTTGCCCTCTAAAAAGGAAGGAGTGCCTTTACACATATTCCCACACTGTCTTGAAGAAACAGCAATCAATGCATTATTGAAGCCTCAAGATAAAATCTTATACTGTACTTGATGACTGTTATAGATCCTAGTGGAGACCCACACAGTTGATAAATCTACTAATATAGGTGTTAAGTGTAAATACCAAGATAAAACAAGTCAATCTTGAGTATCTCAATAAATGTTATGGGTCATTTTTGATATAAAATTGCCTCAGAAAATGTTTATTATAGGAGATCGGTGCACTTTAAGAATGCTCAAGCTGAAACAAAGTCATGTCAAAAAGACTGACATTCTGATCATTTCAGGATGTGCTTAAGTCTTAACCTATTACAGATATCCTAAGGGCTCTTTTAAAAACACTTGTGTAATATACAACATTAATTGCATCATGTAACCATCTGGCTAGCAAGTGGAAATAACAACATCTTGTTAAGATTTCTGTATTCAGTTCAAAATAAGAAAATGTCAGTTTCTGCCATTGGAGTGTATAATTCTGAATATTCTTTGGTATCCACAAAATAATCTGAAATTACCAGCGTTTTTAAAAGTATGCAGTATATACACGCTGTCACTAAAACCCCAGCTTTAACATTTTTATGCCAAATAAATGTTTACATTTAATAAATATACATTTTTTATTTTTAAAAATGTGCCACTTTCTTGAAATTAATTGCTGGTGTTCTTGCCATGAAAGTCTTTGTTTAGGTGCTTCCTATTTTGCGGTGACATTATTCAGTCCATATCTACCACCTTGTGCTCCTGCATTTTCACCATGTCACCTGGGCTTTTTAAGAAAACTATATGTTTGAAGCTGTTTCAGTGCATTCTGTTGTCACTATCAGGAAACCTGTCATGAGAAATGCTGTACAGCCATCACTGCAGTACTTGCATGTAGACAGGAAATCTCTGCAAAGAGGCAGAAGATCAGCACACTGAGATAAAACAACAGTGAATAAAAACAAGGTGCAAACAAGCATTTTATTGAAAATCGCTATTGTTTATGATTCAGATTGACTGAAAACTGAACTCCAGGAATTATTTGTACTGAATGTTTACATTAGTCCAGTTTAGCACAATGTATGCATATCTAATAAATGATGGACCATTGGGGAAGCTAAAAATCCCTGTTGTAGTCAGTGCTACTACAGTTCTAACCTTGTTCTTCTGTGTTCTACTGGGTCCTGTGCGAGTAGCTTTCCCTGTACACACTGACCACAGGGGTCGCTTGCTCAGCAATGTTGCAACTCATAGAAGCTTTCTCAATGACTACAAGGTATTCTCTGAAAGGATGAGATAAAGGTTCCATGTGAAGGTGTTAGTCCCACCTCCACATATACTAAGGTAACCAAAAAAAAAATTATTTATTTTTCTTTAATTGCCATTTTGATTTTAAAAAGTAAATTTTAAGAATTAAGCACCTAGTGGAATTGCCATAGGGTTCCAAAGTCACCCTGCTACATTGCAAAGACATCATCAATGTAATGCCAATATGCTCTGCAGTATTAGAAAATAATTCACAATGAAATACATGACTCTGAATACATTCATAAATGTGTCGGCAATTGATGGCAGAAAATTTGAATCTATGGCAATGCCACAGCACTGCAGAAAGAATAGTTGGCTATTACAGTGATTTTCTCAATATCCAGACCCCAGCAGCCCTCCAAATGTGAGCTATGAAGGATTAAATGAAACAAAACTGGACCAGTGTAAGTTTAAAAAATCTTTAATGGAGTTCAGATTTAAATGCAGCATTGACCCACCCTTGCATCCGCTGTTTCCAGGATATGGAACTAATTCTGATTGCAAGTTCTTCAGGCAATCAACTCCTTTGCTGCCTTTTTGGCATCTCTTAAGCCTGTAATTGAAAGATCCTTATCCTAGTGTACTGAATATTTTAAAACATTTTTGGTATTGGTGCATCGCCCTTATGGCAGTGCCCTGCTCTTCAGGACATTTTTTACAACAGTTTACCCTAAGGGCTCGTTCACACTTGACTTTATTTCTAACTCTTGCCAAACGCCCCCATAGTGTTTGACAGGCGTTAAACAGGCGTTTGGGAAGCGTTTATAATGCTCCTCAAACACCGCCCAAACACTGCCAAAACGCCCTATGAATGGTTTTGAGGTGGTTGATAGGCATTTGCCAAGTGGTAAAACCGCACTGCAAACTCCTATAATGAAGTTAAATGGTATTACTGCTCCGCAACCGCCTCGCAACCGCATCACAAGCGCACCACAAACGCCTGCCAGGCGTTTGCTGAGTGGCACCATAGACTTGAATGGGAGGCTTCAACTCCTCCTGACTCGAAACGAGGTGTCAGTTTTGCCGCGACACAACGCGATGCGAAGCTAACGCTGTTCCGTGTGAACAGCACTGTGTGCTGCCATGTGCAGAATCTTCATAGACCTTTGAGAAGTGTTAAAAACGCTTCCCAAATATCTGTCTGACACCTGCAGACAAAGCAAGTGTGAACATAGCCTTAAAATGGCAAGAATTTGCTAGGTGAATTGCCTCCATAGACTTTAATCAGATTTGCCATGAAGATTGGGTTTGCTGACTCTCAAACGGGATTCGCTGGACTTCCAGCAAATCAAAGCCATTCAGATTTGCTTATGGCTAGTCATAACCCCTTTCAGTTTTTGTGTGATCCTATGTCCTATTAGAGAGGGTCCCTTCACTTTTGTCCTCTGACAATGCTGTCATTGTAGCAGGAAGTGAGGAGAAATTTCCAATGGGCACATAAACATCAATAAAAAAGCTAAAAGGGGGTTTTACCTTGTGGCAAACTTTAACCAAGAAAGGAAATGAAGGAAAATCACCCTGATCTGAACCTAGGTATGCCTGGCTAAATACTAGTAGTATGTAAGGAAGAGTACAGGGGTCAGTAGTTTGTTCGGCAGATTACAGAGTTCAATGGTTTGCAGGGCAGAGTATAAGGGTCGGTGTACAGAGGTCAGTGTTATGAAGGACACAGTGCAGGGGTCAGTAGTTTATAGGGCAGAGTACAAGAGTCCGTAGTTTGTAGGGCAAAGAGCATGGATTAGTAGTATATAGTGAAGAGAACTGGGTAAGTCGCATGTGCGGCAGGGTACAAGGGGCAGTGTTGGAGTATGTTGGAGTGTATAAGGGTCAACGGGGTACAGTTTCTGCATCTACACTTCAGTAATCTTAGATTAACCTGCCCTAAGTGGAAGCCAGGTGTGTTACTAGTTGTACGTAGGGCAAAGTACAGGGGCCAGTAGTTGCAGGACAGTGTACAAGGGTCAGTAGGGTAGAGTGCAGTGGACATTAATATGTACAGCAGAGTGCAGGGGAAAGTAGTATCAGTAGTATGTAGGGTAAAGTACAGGGGCAGTAGTTGCAGGGAAATGTACAGGGGTCAGTAGGGCAGAGTGCAGTGGACATTAGTAGGCACAGCAGAGTGCAGTGCAGGGAAAAGTAGTATCAGTAGTATGTAGGGCAAAGTACAGGGGCAGTAGGGCAGGGTGCAAGTGTTAGTTTATAAAGCACAGTACAGGGGACAAGTAGTATGCAGGGCAGAGTCCAGGGGACATTAGTATGTACAACAGAGTTCAGGGGACAGTAGTATGTTGGGCAGAGTACAAGCTTCAGTAACATGCAGGGCAGGTGCAGGGGTCAGTAGTATGTAGGGTAGTGTACATGGTCAGTAGTATGTAGGCATAAGTGCAGGGGCAGGTAGTTTTAAAGGCAGTGTATAGAAGTCAGTAGTTTGTGAAGCAGAGCACAGGGTAGGATTCGGGGGAGGGGCGCTTAACGTGGAGGATTGGCACAGTACAAATGCCATCTACCTGACACCTGCCTATGACTGACATGTAGATGTCAGTTGCAGTATCCAGGCACTTTTTATTGTAAAGTGACTGGAAAGCAATTAAGTTGTTAAGGCTGAAATTATTATTTCAGAGACAATAGCCACAAATATTGTACAGTGGCTGGATAATATGCAAGCAGCTTGTTTAGACTGCAATATAAGAATGAGAGTAAGTCTTATGCTAAGATATATAGTAAAGTGTATTATTTCGGAGACAATTGCCACACATATTTAAAGTGGCTTGACAGTATGTAAGAGGTTTTCTAAGGCTGCAGTTTAAGAGTCAGAGATAAGGCAATCCTAAAATAAACATTACAGTGTATTTATTCAGAGACAATAGCCAAACATATTGTACAGTACAGTGTTTAACCGCCTCCCGCCAGCCATATAGTGCAATGACAGGCGCAAGGCGGTTCTCTCGTTCTGGGAGGACGTCATATGACGCAGCGCGGCGATCGGCCA